TCTCTCGTTTCTCTCCCCCCCCCTTTCACCCACCCTCCTTTCCTTATTACCTCACCAGTAACCCTTTGTTATCGAACGTGTTTATATAATATGTTAGTCTAGCACTTCCTCTCCTTTTGGGCTCACTTTGACAATGTCCACTGCCTGGCTTGATTACCGGACAAACGCTGACCAATGAAGAGTCACTGTGACTAAGCAGAGAAGGTTTGTACTGAATGCTGACCCCTGGGACCTCCTCATACACTCTTGGGTAACTGACTTTCATTTAAAAAGGCTGGCCAAGATAACAAACGCGTACTGCCCCAATTGAAGGTAAGTCGAGCGATATTTTGTTTCGTGCCTTATGATTAAATCGAGGGCTATAGGTGCATCTCAAAGCTTTTAAAAACTCTGCGTTACTGCATCGTTTGCGCTGTGCTTCCTTGTATGTCCAGGGATGCTTTGAAACATTCCTTCCTGCATTCCTGGGCAGCCCAGTTGCGGGTTACGAACTTGGACAAACTATTGTTCCAAACGAAACATAAATCTGTAGGTATGTACTCGTATGTATGCATGTGTGTACTCATATGTACGTACCCATGCATACATACTTACCTCCTCTATTTATCCCGCTCTCTCCCCCTCTCTCTCTCTCTCTCTCTCTCTCTCCCCCTCTCTCTCTCTCTCTCTCTCTCTCTCTCTCTCTCAATCCCCCCCTGGCTTTTTATAATGTATACATCTTTGCTTGAACGACTCTTGCGAGGCCGGCATCGACGTCATTGGCTGTGATTCTGAAGTTCGGAATGCTCGCTATGAAATAAATACATGTAATAATCTTATCATCAGAACAACTGTCCACTGCGTATTTCATATTTCTATGAAGCTATGCAACAAGCCACTAAGATGGGGGGTTCTCGTATCGTTAACCTACAATGCAAGAGGTAATTTCAAATTCAAAGAAATCTGTAAAAGTGTACACCGCGCGTGGGTGGGTCGGCCATGATATCCCAAACTGCATCAGCATCACATTCCTCGGTGCGTAAGCAAACTTGATGGAAGTAAACTTAACCGGAAGCTCATACTCCCAACATAAATTACGTAGATTAAATAGCTCCGTTTCTAAAAACGTGTACATTCGCCTTATCCGCCTGATTGCGTGTGTGTCCCCTCGTGGATGTGAGCTGATACGCTAAGCCCAAGCCTACTCTTGGTCATAATCTTAATTCTGTTGATTTTGCATCTGGTTCGAGTAGTTCACAGCTCCATTGTGGTTACTCCAGACTATATGTGTATATATAT